AAATACTCAAGTCTATTATTATGTATATATTTTATTACTTCATATTCAAATTCTTCCCTCTGTATCTTTCCCAGAGTTGATATTTTGGAATTGGGGATTCAGGCGAAGCGTAAGCAATACAAATCCAAATCCAAATCCGAATCCACCTACAGCTACAGCTACTTAATAAATAATATAGAAATTCTTGCTGAAATCTATGTAACTGTGTTCACAATTAATTGCAACAACAAGTGCAAATTTTTACGAGCTGCTTTTAAACAACCAAATTATATTAAATATAATAAAACGAAATATTGCAAGTGAAAGGTTATTCAATTAGAGCCCAAGACAAGATGGCCAAGCCATCAGCAACACGGAGTGACAGCAGCAACAACTGCAAGAATCAACGCAGTGGCAACGGCAGCAACACAAATCCGGCTGCCTTCAACAACAATAATAACAATAGCAATAATAATATGAATAATAGTAGCAGTAAATTGAACGGCAACATTTGCCAACCAACTCTACCCGCTCCGGCCAACACGCCGCTGAACAAGGCCATCAAGCACGACCTCTTCCCGGAGGTGACATTCTGCAATCTGTCCGTGGAGGAGCTCAACGATGGCGCCGGCCACAGTCGCACGACGGTGCGCAACAGCATCATTGCTCTGGATGGCGATGGCACCTTGACCAGCCTGATGACCGGTAATCAGGTGAAGAAGCGCAAGCGTTTGATATCGAATGAATCGGGTGATTCCATTGACTCGAGCAGCACGGAGAAGAAGACGCCCAAGATGCCGGATGGCGGCTATGGTTGGGTCGTTGTCTTTGCCTCGCTGATGATATCGCTCATCTGGGATGGTCTGTCCTTCTCCTTTGGCCTCATCCACACGGAGCTGTTGGCCTACTTTGGTGAGTCGCCAACGAAGACGGCTTGGATTAGTTCGTTGTTCTTCTCGGTGCCGCTGCTCATGGGCCCCATCTGGTCGAATCTGGTGGATAAATACGGCTGCCGCAAGATGACCATACTGGGCGGGATTGTTTCCGCCTTTGGCTTTGCCATCTCCTCCGTTTGCAATTCCATTGAAATGCTGATGATCACCTTTGGCATCATCAGTGGCCTGGGACTGGGCATTGGCTATGTGACGGCCGTGGTGTCGATTGCCTTTTGGTTCGATAAGAAGCGCAGCTTTGCCACAGGCATCGGCGCCTCGGGCACGGGCATTGGCACCTTCATCTATGCCCGCCTCACACAGTATTTGGTGGACTCGTATGGCTGGCGAGGCGCCACACTTATTTTGGGCGGCACCATGCTGAATGCGTGTGTGTGCGGCGCTCTGATGCGCGATCCGGATTGGCTGATCGAGGAGAACCGGCTGGAGAGCCGTTCGCAGAGTGTGACCACATTTTCGAATTCGAGCGTTTGTCTGGAGGAGATCAGGAAGCTGCTGGACACGGGCATCACCAAGGAGGCCGTGCTGGATACGCTGGTGACCAAGAACAACACGGAGGCCAATCAGCAGATCGACGATCCGCTCGACTCGAGCCTCAAGCGCTATCGCAGCGAACTCTTCTTGCCCACATTTCTCAGCATCCAGGAGCTGGATAGCATTTGCGAGGTGAAGAGCTTGAGTCGTCGTTCGTTGCGGCACAAGGAGGGCGCCGAGGCGCCATCACGGGAGAATCTTCTATCCCTGTCGTCGGGCGCTGCAGCCTATGGACCCACGGCGACTATTCTCGGCTCACCGGATGATACGCTCATGGGCGGCATACCGGCTGAGGTCGCGGAGGCGGCCAAGAAGAGCTATTTGGCGTCGATTGAAACACTGTCGCCGTCGGAGAAACGCTCCACGGTGGCGGGCACACCCATTGGCTCGCTGCGCTCCTCGGACGAGGGCTATCTCACCCAGAAGCACAACGATGCGCATTATGCCAGCTCGCGGTATTCCTTGAATGAAAATCTCTTCATGGGCAAACACAATTCGGCATCGCTGTCCAATCTGAGGGTCAATGAGCAGCGCCACAACTCGGTGGACATACTGAGCGATGATATGCACGCCTATTACATGTCCATCAAGGAGGAGACCTTTGCGCTGCTCGATCAACAGGCACCCAGGCACCGACCATATGCAGCTAGTGCTGGAGCTGGTTCTGGTGCTGGTGCTGGGGCCGGTGCCTCTACAGTGATTGCCATACCCGAACACGAACAGGATAACAGCGAGCTGGCCTTGCGCCGTTCCCGTCTGGACAGTATTACGGGCATTCGCCGTCTGTCGCGCTCCAAGAAGCCCAATCCGCATCGCTCGAATCTGCGTCGCAACATCTCCATCAGGAACTCCAACTTCCTGAAGGATATGCGCATACATCGCAACTCCATACATTATCGCGGCGCCATGCTCAATACGCATCGATATCGTCTGCGCGCCTCCTCCTGCCCCAACATCTATCGCAACTCAATGACCACCATTGCCAAGGAGGAAGAAGACGTGAGTAGAGGAACTGGGTTGATATATAAGTTGAATGTAGACAGGGCGAAAATATGGGTAGGTTATAATATATACTAAGTTCATTATCTAAATTATTATTAGTTTATGATTTTATCTGCAAAATTTGCGCAGTTAAGATAATAGAGTGTGGAAAGATTTTGGAAAAAGTTATTCAAATTTAAATATACTAAAAATTTGTGTTAGATTAGAGCTAAATTTGTGTAGGTCGATGCTCCCGCTGAAATATATATTTTAATAGAGCAAAAAGATTCAATTCATGTAGATCAAATATATGCTAAAATATATATGTACAGTAATTCGAAAAATCGCCATTTCTTTTCAAATTATCGAGAATCATAGAGAACGAGATTCTTTCAAGAGAATAGAATTTTGTTCAATTTACCGCGATTTTCGATTAAGCGTTGTACGAATTATCGAGACTCGACTGTATATGTAAGATATTTATAATCATTTCATTTTGCTTGCTATTTGACCTGCATTTGAGCTCATATATATAATCTTTTACATAGATTATGCACTCTATTCTGTTATAGATCAATTCTTAGTCAGTTTTTAACTCGCTCTCGTTTGCTCTATGCCAGTTATCAGGCGACTTGGAGTCCAAGTCCACATCATGCTGTGTCGCTTGACAACCATTTGCTCTGTATTCAGCTCAAGGCGCGATTATCGAGGTGCTCTGAAATATAAAAGTAAATAAATAAATAT